ACGTATGTCCTGGTCAAGGCTGCCCAAATCGAGAGCTTCTGTTACACACATATTGCTGCAATCTGTGCCCAATCTGTCGTCTGGACAAACATGTGCCCTCTGGGCCTGTCCCCAGCTCATGCTCTAACTGAGTGCGACTTGACTTTGTCTTGTTATTCAGCACTTTCCTTGATATCACAATGAAAGCTCAGCTATATGCCAGATATATTCATTTGTTTAGATCCCTCTGTTGTCCGTATCGATCGACTTGCAGCTGTGTATCATATAGCTGCTATATGCACCGTTGCTATGCGATCCAAGCCACGTTGCAGAATGATAGCAGATGTCTGCTGTGGCCACTTTGATTTCTATTCTGTTGCAGCGAGTGTATCTCGAGTTCGGTCAAGTTTTTAGCAGAGCTTTTCGGATGCTGTTACAGTTATCATCTCATGTAGATTGCGGCATTTGCTTTGTGCCTTGTGCAATGTTGATTGCAGTTGCAATTCCATTTGCAGTTGCCGTTGCCGTTGCAGTTGCAGCTGCAGTTACTTTTGAGTGAAGCCCTCACAGCGTGCCTCCGGAAGCGTCATACTATATATGCTGACATATTCTGATATTATATCGCCTCTGTCTGTCCGTTTGGGTGCGAGTGTATGCATAACTGTAAGCGTGTGCGCACACTTTTGCCCATAACTGTTGTTTGGCTAAGGGCACTTTTTTGTTTTTGTCTACTTCGGTTTCTGTTTCGGTTTCAGTTGTTGTTTTTGTTTTTGTCAAGGGAAAAACTGGTTTTTCCATCAGCTCTTGGCTTGGTCTCTCTATGTTGACGTTCTAATTTCGGCGCTACGCTAATAGCCGGAGAGTAGGAGGAAGTGGCGGGGCGCTGAAGTTGTCGCAGCTATAAAAAATGTTACGAGAGTCACAAGCAACGCCTACGTATGCCCCAGACAGCAACTAGAGACAAGACAGGCAGCAACATCAACAACAACAACAGCAACAACTCGATATGTTGCAGTTGAAATATGAAAGTTTTTGTTAGCCTCTTGAAGCTCAGATTGAGAGAAAGAGCGAGGGAGAAAGAAAGAAAGACAGATAGAGAGAGAGAGAGAGAGAGAGAGCGGCAACCAGATTGCTTTCAAATTAGGCTTCAGCTGTGCCGCCACTCAACTTTTTGACAATATTCCCATCGATTGCTAAAGTCTCGTAATTGAATTCTTCAGTTATTGAAAAGTTTCCTAGGGGGTACTTGCTGTACTCTCCCAAATATATCAGTTGTTCGAAGCTCTGCAAATCAATGTTAATTGTGGTCATAGATTTTCCACTCAGTGCTTAGCAGCAAGACTAGAATCTTAGCTTTCAAAGGTCTATTGATTCATCGCAAGCATCAATCAGTCAATCAGTTGCTAAAACAGTCGATTAGCCAATCAGTCAATCTTTAAATCAAATCAATCAGTCCATCAAACCTTCAGCCAGTCTATCATTCTCTAGTTAATCAATCAATAAATCAAGTTTTATATCTGCCAGTCAATCATTCATCAATCAATATATCAATTATTATGCTACTCAGTCAATCATCAATACATCAAAACCATCCAATCAAACAATCATTCTATCAACCATCAGTCATTAATAAGTAATTATATAAATCTATCAATCAATCAGTCAGTCAGTGCTTTGGCCATTCAATTTCTCAATCAGTCTGTCAATCAATCAATCACTTACAATGAATAACGCAATTAGTTAGTCAAACACACGACCCATCCTAGTTAATTCATACTTCTAGTCATACAGTGAATTAGTGCCACAGTCAATTAATCAATGCAGTGTTTAATATACCTATGTATACTTATTCATATATACAGAAATTTAGTTCATTTGGCGTTCTGTTTGCTTAATTTTACGTTCTAAATCTTTGCCGATTGCCGAAGTCAAAATTCTCTCTTGTTGGCATTAAATATTAGCTCAAGTGCTAATTTTGATTAAACAACATGCATAGCTCGGTTTAATAAATATGTGTGTAGGTGTGTGTGTGTGTGTGTAGGTGTACGTGTGTGTGTGTGTGTGTGTGTGTGAGCATACACAAGCCAAAAATTTCACACATTTCTAACATTTCCCATAGACAATTCTCAATTGAAAGCTAACAGAAGGGTAAACGAATGTGCGAATGGGCATCCGATATCTCTCTCACTCCCTCCCTCGCACTCTCTTCCTCTCTCTCTCTCTCTTGTTGTGTGGCCACAAACAAAAGCTCAGCTAGAGAATTGTTTTTGTTGCTGGCAATTTGCTTTGATTTAATTCAATTTAACAGTTTCGCCCGTTGCCAGCTCGCAATTTGCCATTTTTAGCGCTTGTGGCCGCTGGCTAAAAAGGGTTGCCACCCCTTAACATCAGAGTTGCCATTAGGCTGTGGGTGTTGCCGCTGCCTTAGCTGTTGCCGTTGCTGTTGCTTTTGAGCCAGCTTGTCATGCCAGTTACGTCCGAATTTCCGCTTCATTTTGCAGTTGCAGCCAATTGTGGGGGAGCTGGGGGCGGCGCTTGAGTGTCATTCAACTGGCAGAGGACACGCAAAGAGTCAACAGAACAGGCGACACTGGGGCTAGTTTCTTACTTATTTTTTTCGCTTAATAATTATTTGCATGTTGCACGTAGCAAAGAAGGCAACAATTTGCATGCAGCATAAATTATTAAACGCATAAACACCGACTAAGCGATGTGCCCTAACCAGCAGCAGCAGCAACGTGTGCCCTATGAGCTGAGGCTACGTGCGTCTAATTAAACTTGATTGACATGTGGAGCTACCTGATACGGCTGACTGTCTCGAGTTGCATTTGCAATGCGGATCGATCCGGCTGACTCATGGGCGGCAGACTGCGTCGGTGTCCAATAACTCGACTTCAAATTCGAGCAACTGTCCGCCCTTTGTTTCCCCAACTCTTAAGGAGAAGCACAAAGTCATTTTGTAACATATCAAAAAAAGGGAGCGATACGAATTAAAGTAATTATGGGGTATTACACTATGTGGTTATCAGAGCTAAACTCTTAAAACAATAGCCACGCTTCTGTAATTACAGGATATATATCCTTCCATCAGATTACATGTATAACAAGTATAAATATATTTAACTTCTCTATTTGATTTGATGAATTATGTGTTCTTTAGAAGTGCTTCTAAATTTAGAACATTAATTGCAATTTACAGGGTATAAGCTTAGTGAAAGCAATGAAATGTTATAGCTGTATGCATTGGCACACAAATAAACGCTTCATAGACCTAACGCCTAATGGTATAACAATTACAGGGTATACTACTGAAGCGAAAGAGTAAATTTACAGGGTATTACACTTGCATTAGAAAGATATTCTTTTATGTATAGGCATAGCCCACGCAATTGACAGAGCATAACTCGAGTCGAGCTCCTTTGACTTTAGATTAGGGGCATTCCCACTTCATGTTCACTCGCTAACTAGATTAATTTCTAATTGAATCAAAATGCTTTTTGGCATAATTACAGGGTATGTCATTAGCAGTGCTTGCTACATATCTAGTGAGCTGCTGGTGCTGTTGCTGCTGCCACATAATATTTTTTTTAATGAGTGCCAATGAAATTTCCGTTAAGCCAACCGTAGTTTAGTTGCCTCTGCTACCTGGCCCGAGCCGGGGCCCAGCTTAAAAGTTGCCCTGGCAACTCTGGTCGCAAACTTTTGCCAGCTCCTTGTTGTTGCCGCTAGTGTTGTTGTCGTCGACGTTGTCGTGGCGTAGTGTTGCCAATTCAATTAAATTTTGCACCCAAAAATGGGCTTCAGCGACAAAAATTAACTTTCCAGACGAATTTTTACACAATTTTCGTTTCGTTTCTCGGTTTCGTCCTTATTTTTAATTTTATTCTGTTTATTTCCTTTTGGGCTTCGTTTTTTCTGTTGGCTGGCTACAACAACATCCAGCTCAAACAGCAGAAAACGAGCTGCAAGTTATTTAATTAAAAGTTCACTCAATATCCAGAAACAAATTCGTGTCCTTTCTCTGCTGCTCTATGTCGCCCAGCCGACCGACCGTCCTGTCGTCCCGTCGACCTGCCATCGCTCCGTTTATCTCGTTTATGCTTCGCATCGTTCGACTTGGTTTTGGGGTCTTAATGGACGTTTGGCTTGGTCCAGCGGTCAATATTGTTTCGAAAGAGCGACGTGACTTCACGTTTGGCCTAACGACAGTGCTCAACGAAATATGACCACAATGTCAGCTCTCGGCTGATGATTATTAATCGTTTTGGCAGTTATCGATTACATTTTAGAGTGAGCAAAAGTCAATTTTCTTTCACAGATGCGTGACTTGTGTGGCTACGACACATACGTTAATATCCGTTAGTTGTATTGCATTCTGATATATGAGCACACAGTCATATGTATATATATTTCTATTAGTTATCGATTAATGTTACCAAGCGTCGCATGAAAGAAGATATGAAGCAAATCGGAGCTTGTTTAATAAATATGAAACGATTGTGGCAAGACTTTTCTTAGTATTATGAAGTATTATCTTACAGTTATCGATAACACGCAATGCTTTGAAAGCTTTACCTTTAAATGTTTCGTAGTCAAACCATTTATCTATTAATCACAACTTTAACTACTACTATTTATCGATAACATTTCACTTCTCATCGATAACAAGTCTGCGCTTTTGAATAAGAAAAATATGAAAAATATGTATTATAATGCTATTAAAGTTACAATTGTTGAATTTTATTTGGACCAAATATTATGTAAAACACGTATTGCTCAATTTTCACATTTATGCTTATCGATAGTTATCGATTAATCTCCTTAATCAGTTTTCAATTATAATTGTTCATAGCTTTTCATTTATCGATAACATCGAGAAGAAGCTTACCAAAATATAGATTAAAACGTGACATTTTTGTCAGTTTTAACCATTATTGCTTGTTCGATAGTTATCGATATCGGCATCTTATTAAATTGTAAACATTTCTAAAAGTGCTATATTTCTCTGTCTCTCTTTATAGAGTCTGGGTATTCTGGCTTCCATACCTGCCGGCCTGTTGATACTCTCGCTGCTCGGCTTGCTGCTGTATCTACTGACGCGTTGCTGCGATCGCAAGCAGCGCAAGCCGAGCGCTCAGCGATGCCAGAGCTGTTCGCTGGTCATTATAACGCTGATGACCTGCGCGGCCATTGGACTAGGTAAGTGCCGAGTCGGGTGCATTGAACCCGCTGCCATTATACATATATCCATGCCAAAATCCCGCCGCACGACCCGCAAACTGCCCGCCCTCACAGGACCACGCCCAAAGGTCCAAATGCACGTAGCCGTCGCGTGTTTGACTTGGCAATTAGCCAAAACAAGAGCCAAGAGCCGACGTCGACGACGATGGCGGCGAAGACGACGCCCGTTGCATTGCTCCATTACGTGCGCGGCTCTGGCTTTGGCACGTATCTGGATTTATGGGCGAGCGATCGCCGCCCGAGTCGCGTCAAGTGTCGTGCCTGAATATAAAAACTTACAATCCAAACCAAAAACCCAAACTCAGCGAACTTAATTTGCCCATTTCGAAGTAAACTGTGTCAAAGTGCCAAAGGTAGTGCCCCAAGTCAATTCCAGTCAGCTGGGGTCCCCCAGCCACATTATAATCCAACCTCCGCATACAATTGAAAAAAAGAAACAGCAACAAAGTAATAATAATAATTTAATTAGCGCTCTTAATTGACTCAAAAATGTGTCCAGTGCGAGCTTTGCTCTGATGGCTCAGCAAATGCGGTCGCGCAGAGGCTCAAGCGGCGAATAGACAAAGAGCTTGCATAATTAGAGATATTATGCAGAGAGAGATAGGGAAATGAAGAGAGAGCAAGAGAAAGGAAGAGAGAGCAGGTGAGATCATTAGAGAGGAAGAGAGGGGGAGAGAAGAGAAGAGCGACGAGGGGTGAGAAGAGGAGAGGAGATCGATGAATAGAGAGATGAGGTGAGGACATAAGAGAAGAGAAGGGAGAAGAGAATAGAAGGCAGAAGAGAAGAGAAGGGAGAAGAGATGAGAAGGGAGAAGAGAAGAGAAGAGAGAAGAGAAACGAAGGGAGAAGAGAAGAGAAGAGAAGAGAAGAGAAGAGAAGAGATAAGAGAGACAAAGAAAGAGGTTGTAAATGCAAGAGAGGGGAGAAGAAGAGAGGTAGATAAATGTGGAGAGAACAGGAAGATAGACCAGCACAGATAGATAGAGAGTTAGGCAGACTTCGATATATATACATATACTAATATATATAGAGACAGGGAGAGAGAGAGAGAGCATTGCTATCGCCTCTCTTTTTCTAGCTTCTCAAATTGACACCTCCCTCATGTTTAGACACCCAAAGAGCTTCACCAAAAATCGTTTCTCCTCTCAGAAGCTGAGCTGCGCCAGGCCTTTTACCTGATGAACTGAATAGTCTCTTCTATTCTCTCAAATATACCGCTAGATAAAACCTCTATAATCTCCTATAGCTATATATATATATAGACTCACAAAAATACTTTAAGTACATACAACTCATGAGATGAAAATAGACGGAATAAGACTTCCCGAACTTACAACTTTTTTGCTAATTAGAAATTCAATCTTTCGGTGCTCTCCCTTGCAGGTTTATATGGCAACGACGATTTCCACAACGGTCTGCTGCAGGCCTTCAGCTCCGGCAGGAAGGTGGAGAGTCTTGTGCTCAATCTTAAACAAGAGGTGAGTAATGTCCAAAAAAGTTTCACTACAAAGTAAAAGTTTCATAAGAAGCATAATGGAAAATCGCACACAAACATACACACATATATATATATATATATATATATATATACATAAATATGTATATATTTAAATATTTATTTACACATTTATTTACCTAACGACTTTGCAAATTGTTGAAAACTATTTTTTTCCGCTTTGTTTCATGGTGGAGTGAGCAGGCAGCTTCAGCTTACGTAAAACTTTACTTTAGTTTCTAAATAATATGAAATTCTCAGAATTGTCGATTTTTTAGAATATTTCTCTTAAAGCAAGTACCCATAATAATATTACTCTATATGATTTATATATATTTTAGCTTAACTAAAATTTGAATATCGATATTAATCGATTACATGGACGATTTGATATAAACTCGCACTGACAAGGCGACACAGGTCACGGCTCAACTGTTAATCGTACTTAAACATCTCTTCTGCAGCTTGTCATGCACCTTTGTTATATATAAACATATATACCTCACTTCTTATACATTTTTAATGCTATTGAATATCTTTAAGATCAGCATTCACTTAGTAAAAGAAGAACTAAAGATGATATGTGACATTATCTCTTTGTTCTCAGTGATTATGCCGTGGATTCAAAGTGCCTTAAATGCTTGATCCAATATGAGTATATATATATACTCATATTGAGCTCCATCAACTTGAGCTTCTTCTCTTTGACGACTCTTCTCATGTGTGGCAAAAAGCGGCGGAAAAGTTCGTAGTTTGCCTTAGCCATTAGCCATGTTTTAACTAAAGTTCGGCATACCCAATCCTTGTGGATAGCTTTTAATGTGGTTCGATAATCGTGTAGTTTGGGCTGAAGGTCTTCGACGCCAAAGGCGGCAACTTTTTGGGTTCGATTACGTTCCGTAGAAATTCGAGTGAAATTCGAGTGGAAATACTGCCAGCTGGAACTTTTTTCGTTTCGTTTCCGTCGAATTGTGCGTTGCGTAAGACCAGGAAACGTTGCTTCTACTGGGGCAGTTTGAAATGCAAGCCAAATGTCATAATTCGCACAATTTCAATGCGAGCATTTGCATATTCCAATTACCTTTCGTTTGCACGACATTCGATATCTCCGGGCATTGTTTGTCGTAGACGTCTTTGACGTCTCCAGCTCGCAAATCATGCGAATGTATCCAGTGTATCCAATGCTCATTTCACGCTCGATTCTTGTGTGCCGCACAAAGCAAAAGAATCGTTTAAGGTGTTACTTGCTTAGCAAGCGAAAGTCTATAAAGATTGAAGTGTTTAGCTCTCAAGGTTTGATTGAGGAACTAGAATTTCTACCACAGCTAAGCCTGAAGATTGCTGCACTAAGAGATAAGGCTTCTAGTTATATATACTATATAATCTGATAGCTAGGCATATACTCCTTTACTTTCTTTAGTAACTTTTTTAACTGACTTCCAAAGAACTCTTCACAGAATTCTGTAAGCCAAAGCCCAACAACCTCAGCAGTCTGAGTGTTGTGTTGTGTGAACTCTGTCAATATCTGTCACTTTTATCAATTCCCAATAGACTTTAAACTCATTAACATAATTGAAAACGAGAAGCAGACTGCGGCGTATGCATTATAAATTCTTAGGAATTCGAACTTTAAGTCTTCAGTTTGCGCTTCTACATCAGATTTACCTTAGCCTCCATCGCTCTACAACTTGAACTCGCAAAAGTAGGCAACACTTTCCGCATTTAAGCGTTGCCAGACTTGTCGCAATCTGCAATATTAAATCGAATTTCTTTTTCAATTGCATTTCCCATAAAATGACGTTGCCAACGAATGTGTTCATCGATAAATGCATTTTCTAAGCTTTGATTATGGCGAAGGATATGACAAATACTTGCTTATTGCTGCAGAAATTGTCGCTGATTCACTTTGAAGGCCCTCCGCTGCTAGCCCTGGCTGAAACTCCTTGCTTGCATATCTCGCATCTGGCGCATCTTTGGCCAGGATAAGAGACAGCTATGGAGGACACGTTGTGGCAAAGCGTTGGCTTTTCCTCTATTCATAAACTTTTTCAGCGTACGGACGCGTATATATATATATATATCTGTATATATATATATCTGTATATATATACGTACACATAAAAGAAGCCGATAAGGCAAAAGGTTAAGAGAGCGAGTCGAGCTAAAAGTGAACGCAGAGGCGCGCGACTGTGATGGGGGAGGGGCGCGCGGGTTAAGGCGTAGGCGGATGTTAGGTGCGGACAAGATGATGCTGTGGCCCAAACAGATGGCTGGCATTGCTTGGCCCTTGAGTAAAACGCTATTAATTATCTAGGCACAGGACTAAACACACTCACACACGCACGCACACACACACACACATGTGAGTAGCTCTGCCAGACAGAAGGGGGCTTTGGCTTTGGCTTTGGCTTCTGGGTAGCCCTGTGCGTGCGTCTGCCATGGCTCTGCTTTTAGGCAAGTCCTCGACCCTACGCCCTGTCACGCTTTGCCATGTCTGTTGCGCAGCCCTGCTGCCTGCTCTGCCTTTCCCTTTCCCACCTTGGGCCTTTCTCTTGCTTTAGCTGTGTGTACTTAAATCCTTGCACAAGTGCGGAAGCAAAAGCATTACGAGCGAAAAAAAACTACTATATTTATGTGCAACGTTTTCGTCCTTTGTTCCTGTTTGCCAGCTGCATGTCTGCCTCTACGTCTGTCAGTCCCCTCATCCACTCGTCCGTCCGTCCGCCTGTCTGTCTGTCTGTCTATGTGCGAGTCCCTTGCGGGAGCTTTCCCTTTGCCCATTTTTGGTCATTAACTTTTGAACTGCTCTCACCTGCTGCGGCTGTGAGTCACAACTTAAGTAATGGACAACAAACACCACACACACAGCCCGAACCCGAACCTAAATCCGAGCACCCAGCTCAACTGTGGCTTTTCGGTGGTAGTTGTCGCTGGATATCGCTTTTATAATCAACGGCGACAACATTCAGCTGCCGTGAACAGCTTTAATCTTGGCATATTCCTTCAACTTGTTGAGGGTTTGAGTTGCTTTAGCCGCCTTCTTTTGCTTAGGCCATGTTCGGCTTAGCTTCAATCGGGTCAGCGACATACTGTGCTCAAGATAAACCGTAAGAGCTTTTATACACATTGTCTAACTTCTCATAATCTATATGGCCAACACGGAAAAAGAAAGGCCAAAGTATATTAATAGCTGCGAAGCTGTTGTCAGGCAATGTCTTAAAGTCAGGCTAAGTGTGTATGCTGCTTGCAAGCATATGATTGATTGCAGGCATGTGATACATATTTCAAAAGCCAGCGAACCTTTGATGAGTCTCAGAGAGAGAATTTTATACAGTCAGTCAATCAATAAGTCTGCGTATCAGTCAGTCAATCAATCAGTTAGTATTCGCACTCAATCAGTCAGTCAATCAATCAGTTAGTATTCGCGCTGAATCAGTCAATCAGTCATCCAGTATTGAAGAGTCATTCAATTATTCAGTATTCAATGATTAGGTCAGTCAATCAGTCAGTATTCAATGAGCCAATCAATCAATCAGCATTCAATTAGTCAGTGTTCTCGTTGAAAGCTAAGTTGCTCAGTCAGTCAATCAGCTTGTATTCAAAAAGTCAGTCAATCAATCAGTATTCAATGCATCAATCAATCAATCAGTATTCAATTAGTCAGTGCTGAGTTTGTCAGTCAGTCAATCAGCTAGTATTTAAATAGTCAGTCAATCAATCAGTATTCAATGCATCAATCAATCAATCAGTATTCAATTAGTTAGTGCTGAGTTTGTCAGTCAGTCAATCAGCTAGTATTTAAATAGTCAGTCAATCAATCAGTATTCAATGCATCAATCAATCAATCAGTATTCAATTAGTTAGTGCTGAGTTTGTCAGTCAGTCAATCAGCTAGTATTTAAATAGTCAGTCAATCAATCAGTATTCAATGCATCAATCAATCAATCAGTATTCAATTAGTCAGTGCTGAGTTTGTCAGTCAGTCAATCAGCTAGTATTTAAATAGTCAGTCAATCAATCAGTATTCAATGCATCAATCAATCAATCAGTATTCAATTAGTTAGTGCTGAGTTTGTCAGTCAGTCAATCAGCTAGTATTTAAATAGTCAGTCAATCAATCAGTATTCAATGCATCAATCAATCAATCAGTATTCAATTAGTCAGTGCTGAGTTTGTCAGTCAGTCAATCAGCTAGTATTTAAATAGTCAGTCAATCAATCAGTATTCAATGATTTTGTCAGTCAATTAGTCAACTTTCAATGCGTCAATCAATCAATCAGTATTCAATGAGTCAATCAACCAATCAGTCTTCACTCAGACAGTCAATAAATTACTCATCAGTCACATGACTGACTAGCCATGTAGTTAGTCATTGTGCAGTCAACAACAGCACATTCTTATCGTACCATGTATGACCCCTTGTCTTCATTCATTAACGGTCAAGGCCCAACCCAAGTTATTTGATTAGCTGACTCTTGAACTTCCATGTGGACTGATATATGATGATAAATTATTACACCTAGCCCATAAAGAGTAAATCACTCTGTCTCTCTCTCTCTATCTCTGCAATGGCATCTAATATTCTCTTATGCTCTTTCCTCTCTCGTTGACAGACTGAAACCATAAAGCGTGATCTCGAGACGAAAATGGCATCGCACAAGGTGCAGGACATGGTGGAGAAGCCGCAATACAATCAGACCGCAGTCATGCTGCTCATTGAGACGTCGCGTCTGGTGCGGGAGAATACCTCACGCGCCGTCACCTCGCTGGACAACATGGTGCTCTACTTCATGAAGACTAAGGGCAGCGAGAACGAGACCTCGTTGATGGGCATCCTCCATGTAGGTGCTATGCAGCAGCTTGAAAAGGGGCCTTCACTGATGTGGCTTTCTCTCTTTCTCTTTTAGCTGGGCGATCTTTATGAATCCATACGCTGGCCAGCCACATTGGCATTCCTCACTCTGCTGCTGTTCCTGTGCACTGTCCTGGTCATTGGGGTCGCCCGTCGCTCGCGCTGCACGCTGATCTTCTTCAGTGTCTCGGGGCTATTCTGCATCATCATCTGCTGGCTGCTGGCCGGCATCTACTTGGCCTCCAGCGTGGCAGCCGGCGACTTTTGCATGCGTCCACATGAGTACATGTGCCGCCAGGTGGGCATGGTAAGCTCCATCAGCTCCAGCCGAAATTGAATCGAGTTTAATGTGTGTCCTTGCGCTTTCGCACTTACAGCGCAGTCCCTATGTCTACTTCCTCAACTGCGGCACATTGCGCAATCGCTTCATACTGCGCCTCAACGAGTCCCGCGATTTGGTGGAACGTGCACGCGAGAGCGTTGAAATGATGCAACGGTAAATACAACAGCAGCAACAGCTGCATTATAATACCACTAAAGATTTGTTCAGGACTTGAAGGCAACTTAATCAGTGTTGTATATATGCATATAGTAAGCAAAGGAATCGCAAACGTTGCTCAGGTGTAGAGAGACTATAGATATATAAGCTAAAATACATGAGCTAAGTGTTATAGTATTTGAATGTTGACTAGATAAACCTTGAACTGACCAGGTTTGTCAAGCTAACCGAGAAAACTATGTGGTGCCTGCAACTGACAGCTATATAAAGACATTGTCCGATCGACTGATCTATGATTGACATTAAATGGCTATATATAGGTAGCTCTACTTATATAGTTTAGGGTTACACATATAAAGCTAGTGGCCTTATCATGTCATTTCCCTAGAAGCTTATTCAAGTTCTTTGTTTTTCCGACATTTAGATGTGTTTTCCTTGGGTCAAGTCAGGCACACACTTATCTAGAATATATACAAATAAGATATATATAAATACAAATATATTTCTGCTGCAGCATGAGCCAGGACACGTATCCACGCATTGACATTCAGCGCACGCTAAACGCCATGGACAACGACCTGGAGGAGACGAAACGTAATCTGACCAATCTGTCCGCCACACTGGACAGACGGGCCATCGATCGACACTATGCGGAGGCATTGCACGGCCTTTGCGGCGGCGGCTTGCTCGGCCTGAGCCTGATGATGGTGGCTGGCCTGCTGACCTCCTTTCTGCTAACTATACTGGTCTATGCGGACTCGCATGCCTGGATCTATCTGAGCAAGAGGTAAGTCCTCGTGTGTTTGCCAATGTGAGCTCTGTTTGACACTCGTTGCGCTTCTTACAGGCCCACGATGGATGGCGACAAGTCGGAGACGGCGCCGCTGTTCTCTGCCTCGAATGCGCCGAGTGCCAGCATTTCGCCAACGGCGCCGATGAGCACCGGCACCATAAATCGCACGCTGCTGCACCACCAGCAGGCGCATGGTGGGCCCATGGGCGGCAGCGTGGCCGGCGGCCCAGGAGCTGGCGGACACACTGGAACGTTGCCGAGCGGCGGCAGCTTGGCTGGCGGCAATGGCGTCGGCCCGTATAGGAATGGCACGGCGGGACTGCGACAAGGGTTGGCATCACCATCAACACAATCAAGCAACAACAATACATCATCTGCAACAACTTATAACCACCAACAACACCACCACCACAACAACAACCACCACTACAACCACAACAACACACAGCATAGAACTAACTCAACGGCAGCGGCGGTGGCGGCGGCCACATCCCTTTCGAGCCGCTCCAACGGGGGGCGCCGCTCGCCGTCGCCGCCGCCCGGCTATGATTTGGTGCATGGCACAAGGCATGAAGTTTAATTTAATTTAATTTTGTCCTCTTTTTTCGTTCATCTTTGTTTTATGATTTAGTCTTAGTACTCTCAGTAGACACGAGTCCCGTTAGAGGCAGTCGCACAAACTCTTTATTTTTAATGTACTTACATTTCATTTCATTATAATTTACACTTATTTTCACCTATGTTGTTGGTCCTGTGTACATTATGTTGTTGTTCATCGTTATGATTTTGTCGGATTTTGTAATTTGTTTATTCTTTGATTCTTATGTTTTTATTTGTTGTGTGCCCAATGCCCAGCGCTAGGCCACGCCCACCAGCTGCATGACACACACACACGCGCACGCACAGAATACAAATGTAGTTCACAGTAGTAGCTCGAGGGGTTACAGTCAATATATATATCGTACATGGACAACAGCACGCAAACGCCGAACGCACCCACACGACAGATGAATCAGCATTAGGGGTAGTCTCTATAACCACTTGTGCAGCTTGAACATTCCCTGGAAAGTCAACTGCTGCAGTTGAGTCTAACAGACTGTAGCTATAGGCAAAAATATATGAAATATACTTTTATTATAAGGAGCAACGAAGTCGCTTCAGGCTCACCTGTTGTGCACCTGTTTGTCCACATTCTAAAATCCACTTTAGGTCGCTTCAGCCTTGCTAGACTTAACAAAATAAAACTATATTAATTCAAGTAAATATATATAATATATATATATATTAATAATTTTAACTTCATAAACATTTCCATAAATAACAGGAAGATTTTTTAATCTTTAGCCATATTTGCCTTAGCAATATAAATATATATATATATATATATATATATATATATATATATATATATATATATATATATATATATCTATGAATGATATACAAAATAGAATTAGTAACTCGAAAATTGAGACAGCAGAAGGAATTCTTTTGAGGGGAATTCGATTTCTTGACGTAGATGAGCTTAGCTATCGACAGTGCTAGAATTTCAGACTTCGTCAACCTTATGCAGTTACTTCAATCAGATGCCAATAGACATATAAGAACTAAAGAGAACCGTCTTTATATAAAACATAAGCACACGTGTCTTGGTTAGTTTTAAGCAATAGGTTTCTAAGACAATAAAGATACAAACCAACTTTGTTTCCCTACATACGCACACACATATATATATATATATATATATAAATATATAGATACAATGAGAGATGTGAATTGATTTCGAATCCAGCTGTATAAGGATTGGATTGCAGGGAGCAGTAGAACTGAGCAGAGCAGCAGCAGATAAAATAGAACCTAAAGGTAACCATAGGCTTAGAGGAATGTAGAAGGTAGAAGGTACAAGGGTCTTACTTATCATATTGCTTCTATACAGTGTACATACGTATATCTACAGTAGTATTGGTGTCACAACTCTAACAATTAACAAACGCTAATCGATGTTCTATATTCACTCTTCATCTGCCAGACTACCCCTAATGCTGTCACTAGTCTAACGTCTTAACTTATCGCCCATTGGCAACTGTTGCAAATGCATTTGGCTTGAGCTGGCTTAACTTACTCATAATGTCTACCGTTATGTCTGCTTGCAGATCGGGCCATCACACGCTGGGCCGGCTGCCGTCGCACCACCAACAGTCGGCGTCGTACTTGCCCGGCCCCAACAACGGCAAATACGCGACGCTCAGCAAGCAGTGTAAGACGCTCGAATCGAACGACTTCTACTGAGATTCGCTTGCCTGCAGCACGTATGCAGGCAATAGCAACAACACGCAGCACAGCAGCAACATTAACCAGCAGCAGCAGCAACAACAGCAGCAGCAGCTCCAGCAACAGCTGCAGCAACAACAGCAGCAGCAGCAGCAGCTGCAACAGCAACAACAGCACCATCACAGCAGCAGCAACACATTGAAGAACATATTCGCGTCGGCCACGCTGCCCCGCTCGACGGGCAGCTCCATACGCTCCGTGCTGTCGGCTCAGACGGCGAATGCCATTTGCAAGTCAACTGGCAATGGCCTGGACGTTGACGTTCTGGTCGACGATCGAGATCCACGCGACGTCACCAACAACAGCTTCAATCGCTTCGATCCCAAGTACATCAGCATCGGGCCCAAGTCGGTGCGCGGCAACAACAATCTCAACATTGTGGCCGCCGCCACGGCCAGCAAGTGCGCCACGCTGCGCCATGTGGGCCGCTATGGCGGCTCGCTCAAAGGTGCCTCCCCATCGCCCAATCTGCGCAGCGCCAAGACGCCATCGATAGCCACAGTGTCCAAGGACTACTGCCAGCAGGCGGACTGCATGCCGCAGGTCTATGCGGGTGGCTCCACGGACATGTTGGTGCCCAGCACAGCTCAGCAGCAGCAGCTGCAACAGTCGCAGCAACAGCCACTACAACAGCAGCAGCAACAGCAGCAGCAGCTGCAGCTGCAGCAGCAACCGCCGCCACCTTCCCAACAACAGCAGCAGCTGCAAATGCAGATGGTGGTGCAGCAGGTGGTGCCACCACCGCCGCCGCCGCAGCAGCAATTGCAGCCACAGCCCGCGCCACCGCCGCCACCCAAGCCAAAGATAGTCAACACCTTTACGGAAATACCCGGCACCACGGGCGTGGGCAGCTCCTATGCCAAGGAGCAGCAGCAGCTGCTGGCGCTGCAGCAGCAGCAACAGCAGCAGCTGCTCGCGCTGCAGCAACTGCAACAGCAGCAACAACAGCAGCAGCAACAGCAACAGCAGCAACAGCAGCAGCTACATCACCATCCACCGACCACTCACATTTTGCCGCCCTCGGCCGTCTACAGCATTGAGAGCAGCGGCGTCTATCCGGCAGCAGCGGCAGCTGTGTCGCAGCAGACAGCGCCTACAGCGGCGCCACGCGTGCAGCGCTCCTTGAATCCGGCTTCCATAGTCAACCAGCCGCTGCCGGACATACCGGTGCAGTCGCCCACCGGCAACGCCGGCGTGCCCGCCTCGCAGTCAAAGATCTCATCACAGCCGCTGTGCGCCGCCACCCTGGGGCAGTATCGGTCGCTGCAGCGACCCCAAGCAACGGCGCAACAGAAGCTGCAGCTCGCCTCGCAGCAGCAGCAACAGCAGCCGCCCTCGTTGCCACCCAAGAATCGGCACAAGAATTCGCGGGATGCGAGCAATGCGAATCACATGCAAACGCTGCCGCCCAAATCGGCGAGCTTGCGACAGCAGCAAACTGCCAGCTTTGGCTACGAGCGCGAAAGAGATAGAGAACGTGAGAGGGAGCGAGAGCGCGAGCGAGAGCGTGAGCGGGAAAGAGAAAGAGAAAGGGACAGGGAGAGAGAGAGAGAGAGGGACAGAGAGAGGGAGCGAGAGCGAGAGCGACCACGTCGCGCTGAGACGCTGGACAATGCGCGCAGCTACGCCGAGCAGCAACTGCAGCAGCAGCAGCAATATGGAGGCCAGCTAATGCTCAGCAGCATGAAGAAGCAGCACTCCTACGACAGCAGTACCTACCATCAACAGCAGCAGCAGCAGCAGCAGGCGGCCTACTACCAGCAGCAGCGACAGCACAACAACAACTATCATGGCACTGTGTCGAGCAGCGCCAGCAGCAAGCAGCAGCAGCACCAACAGCAACAGTTGCTGGCAGAGCAGCAGCAGCAGGCGTTGTTCTATCGCTCGCTTAAGCGTAGCGCAGGCGGCGGTGCTGCTGCTGCTGCTGTGACAGCTGTGGGCCATGCCGCCAATAGCGATTTGTATTCTGTGACGGAATTGTAGGAGTGCGCCTGCTGCGGCGGCGGTGTTGATGTTGTGCGGCGTGCCACGAGCTGTTCGACGGGCACGGCCACAGCAGCAACATCGCTGCACGCAGCGGCGGCAGCAGCCTCAGCCAGCACACAGACACAAGCTCAAGCTCAAGCTCAAGCGCAGCCGCCCATACCGCTGCCACCCAAAAAGCATCGAGCACAGCAGCAACAGCAACAACAACAACAACAGCAGCAGCAGCAGCAGCAGCAATGTAATGCGAATCTATGCGATGAGCATGAATATGACGAGTACTGCCCGCAGCAATACGAGTCACAGCAACAGCAGCAGCCGAGCTCGCGGCATGGCAAACAGCAGCGCGCAGCCACGTTCGATGCGGCAGATGCGCGCGACTACGAGCTGAAGCGTCTGGGCAATCGACGCTCCCAGCAGCAGGCGGCCAGCAGCAAGCGCAACGGCGCGTCGGCAATCAGTGAGCAGCAGCAACAGCAGCAGCAGCAGCAGCAGCAGCAACAGTCGCATCATCATCATCGCACACACGATCGAGAGCGTTCGCGCAGCGATCATCGCATTGCGAGCTATGCCTGCGAGGATGCCACAGCAGCAGCTGCGGCGCTATGCAGCGCTGGCTCCATGAGTCTATTGGCGGCCAATGGCAGCGCACAACAGCAGCAGCAACAGTCGCATCGCAGCCACCAACAGCAGCAGCAGCAGCAGCAGCAACAGCAGCAGCAGCGACGGGAGAAAACGTTTAAAGTATGATTTTTAGAGACGTCATAAAAATTGCCCAGCCCGCGACAAGCTGACTTCGACGGCGATGTTGCTGTTGCTGCTGTTGTTGTTGCAGCAACGCGCAGGCGACGCACGCGCTAAGCGCCAAGCAGCAACCGCCGAGTCAACACTAATGAAGCCAGCCAACGTTGCGGATTTTTCTAATAAATAAATAAATATATACAAGCCGATTGCACGCACTCAACCAGAAGGTAGCAATTAGGTGCCGTACATGCCCCGCCCACCCTCAACAGCCCCAGCCCAGCGCCAGGAGAAAGCCTTCTTTATGTTCTTGAAGCCAGTTGGCAAAACCATGCGACAAATTTGTTCAATTAATGTGAGAAGTGGAAGGCAAGTTGCACTTGCCACATGACAAGCCGTGCCTCATGCAAATGCACACACACACACACACACATACACACACACACACACACACGCACACACTCACTTGTACAAGCCGCCTCCTTGGTTACTCAATCATATGTTACAGTTGCAAGTCAGCAGTTGCAAGTTTGTTGCGCTGCCACGCCCCCTTTTTGCTTCGTGTTGTTGCCTATTGTTATATATATATAATTATATTTTTATTTTCATGTTTTTTTTTTCATAAATATATGACTATGATTAAGGCTAACTGTAACTAAGCTAAACATTATTTATTTACGCAGAAGAGAAACGCATCCCCAGCCTCCCAGCCAGGCCCGAGTCGAGAACCTAAAATTGCATATTTTTTAGCATTGTTTTTTTGTGTTGGAATAACTTTCATTTGTTTATTGTTTAAAAAATCCGTTGCGCAAGAGCAAACAACAGCAGCGAAGAGTTCGTAATTTTTGTGACGTCAGAAAACTAAAGAGAAGTGAAAAGAAAAGAAAGAACAAAACAACAACAAATACTGTAATTACTAAAAATTCCATTTTAAAGAATAAACAAATACAACAAGCAATAAATATAAATAATAAAAAACGAAGAAGGAAATGCAACATTTAACATAAATATATAGAAAACACCAGAAGCCATACGAAAAAAAAATTGTTTAACTATTTTACAATCTAACAAATATACACACACACATATATATATATATATATATATATATATATATGCATAAACAAACAAACACATATATATATATATAATGAGATATACGTATATTGAATAATTAATAATAATTGCGAATATATAATTAACGAATGTTCAGGTCAATAACTGCATTTAAAAACCAATTTGTTAGACGTTAAAGATAAATCTCTCCCCCTTTTTATATACGAAACGAAATATATATATATATATATATACATATACAAATACAACTACAAATACATATACATACATACCATAAAACACATACTACAAAAGACATTTGCATGGACAAATGAGAAAACAGAAATTTAATGTACATTACATATAACATAAAAGAAAGGAAAATAAAAGTAAGGAAGAGAAAAGTGAAAATGAAAAACGAAAGAAAAATATATACATAAATAAATGAGACAATTTCGTAGTCTAAAATTAATATAAAACATGGCGAACACTTGAAATACAATTTAAAATTATATTATAAAAAAATACAGCAAATGTTAACAAAGAAATTTTTAGCTCTCTGCTGTGCAGATGCAAATAAATTACAAATAAATCAAATAAATCAAATCAAATATTGCAACAAAAACATAAACATTTACTCAAATGTGAACAAGGCAAATATTTTGCATTCGGCATAAACTAAATGTTCAGTGTATTCATATAAGTCAAGTGCACACACACACACATACACGTTGTATATACATGTAAGCTCTCTTCTCTTCAGCTTTCGCTCTCTCTCTCTATCTCTTTCTCTCTCTCGCACTGTCACTCCATCACTCTTCCTTGCACCATTGCAATAAGAAAAAAAAAACATTCCATTGAGACATTTTGAATATAACCTCTATATACCATTTCCCGCCCTTCCTCATCCGATTTCAGCCCCTCTTACTTTCTCTCAGTGTAGTTATACACAACAAAAATATTGTTGCACACAAAAAACTTCGCTCAAAACAAAGCAAAAGAAAAAAAAATTATAAAAAAAATTTTTAAAAACAAAAAAAAAACAAGTTAACAAAACACCGAAAATTAGTTCATTTAGCATTTCAACACACAATTATATATATATATATATATATATATATATATATAAATTAATATATATATGGGCAGCCATTGTTATTGGCTGTTTACACTTGTATATAAATAAGTACGTTTACCGTTAACTGTATAAGTAGACAACTGCAACGGCAAGTGCACTCACATACATGCATACAAGCATGCATGCGAATATATGTGCGTTGGTGTGCAGTTGGTGTTTTTTTTTTGTTTTCGTTAGGGTGACTTTAGCGAAAAGATGAAGGAGAAATGTTTCAGTATGTAGCGTAGTGTAGTGTCATCTACCCTATAAGGCCAAAATAGTTTTTAACACACACATATTAAATATAGAGAATAACTAACAAAAATTTAAAATACAAACAACAAAATACCACTAAAATACCAAATAAAAAAAATATTAAAATGCGCAGTTAGGCAGGTATTTACATAAAAAAATACTTATAGCAATTAATTAAAGAAGAAAAACATGATTATTATTATAATTATTATTGAAAAAACTGCAATTAAACAGAAAACAACATAAGGAGAGAAACGTATGTAATACAGCAGGTAATAAAATGAAAAAAAAAAAAAAATAAAAAATTATAAACTGCATAAGTGTTTAAAAACGTTTTAGCGCACTTTTTCTTACTTAACAGATTTAATCGAGGCAAAAAATAAAATAAAAAATAATTGAAATTGCGATTAATCCAATTTAAAGTAAGTGAGAAGCAAGACGAATTTTAGAGTGCGCCGTTTTTATAATAAATTAAGAAGTATTTTAATCAATGTTTTTTTTAAGTTCATAAGTATATATATTTTTCTTGAGTGCCCCTACTCCATTGTGCATTCTCATGAAACGGAACCAGCAGGAGTTACGTGAATTCTTTTTTCTGATGTAGGATTCAGTCTGCTGTTACAACATTTTCCATTTATTGTAATTATTGTAATAACAATATAAAAGTCTGTAAATTTGTTAACAATTTAAAGATCCTTCGATCTTAAGAGGAAAGTAACCCAGCGTACATCTATGTCGTCTATGTGGTAGTTGTAGTTAAAAGCAAATTGCAATTACAAAACAAATCATATAAACCAAAATCGTGTGAATTATATAGTATTGATTGATTGATTTAATTGATTCGAATCGATTGATCGAGATAAACCATTGTTGAAAGCAACTGCTTTAAAATCAAAAACTTAATGAACAAGAAAAAACAAAAATACAGAAAAAAAAAAAACAAAATAATTATATAACAGTTGTGAACAAATTATATTTACATAGCGTATAAATAAATTGCATAACAATTGATTTAAACAACGCCTAAACCCGAGTTGAATTTTTAACGTACGTTCAAGTATCGATACCCAGGGCGAGTATCGTACCCAGCCCTGACATCAGCTGTTTTTGGTGGCGGTTGGACAATAAGTTATCGATATCCAATGCTGCGCTAAATTCTATAAGCTGAGCACGGGACAATAACAATAATAACAAAACATAATTAATTCCGTATTGAACAACAAACAGCGGAAGACGACATAAGCTAAGAACAATGCATAAGCTACTCCGTGGCGTTGCATGTTGCCAACATGCCGCCAGCAGCGGAGCGAACGTAAATCAGTTGCATAGACAGCATCTGGGCCTACGATTGCTGAGCACCGCAACGGGCCATGCGGCAGATGCTGCCGATGAGCAGGTCTTGAGTAAACGTAAATTTCAGCCACATGAAGCTGTCGATCCCAACGAAAAGCCAAAAGTGCCGGCACAGGCGCGTGTCATTATCTGCGGCGGTGGCATAACGGGCGCCTCGGTGGCCTACCATCTCGGTCTTCAAGGCTGGGGCGGCGAGACGCTGCTGGTCGAACAGGATATCGTGGGCGGTGAGTTGCCTTGGAGTGCTTGTGGTCTAGCCGGACGCTTTGAGCCGAGCTATACAGAACTAAAGCTAGCCGGGTATTCCATTGATTTGATCAAGCAGCTGACAGATCGTGGCCTGCCCACCGGCTGGAGGCAGGTGGGTAGCCTGAATTTAGCGCGCAATTTCGATCGCATGACTTCGTTTCATCGCATGAAATCCCTGGCCGTGGCCTGGGGCATGAATTGTGAGATACTCACGCCGGAGCAGTGTCAGCAGCACTGTTCGCTGATCTCGCTAGACGGCATCGAAGGAGGACTCTGGATACCGGAGGATGGTGTTTGTGATCCGCATTTGGTATGCCACGCTTTCATTAAGGAGGCACGTCGCCTAGGTGTGCGCATCGTGGAGCACTGCGCCGTCAAAAAGATACACAGCGAGCACGGCAAGGTGGCTCGTGTGGAGACCACCTCTGGGGACGTCAACTGCGAGTACTTTGTGAACTGCACTGGGTTTTGGGCGCGAGAGGTGGGCACGCTGTCCAAACCAGTTGTGAAGGTACCGCTCAAGGCAGTGGAGCATCACTATCTGCACACAAAACCGATCGCCGAGCTGGATCCGAATACGCCATTTGTACGCGACTTTGACGGACGCATCTTTTTCCGCGAATGCGAGGGCCACATTCTCGCTGGAGGCTACGAGCGTGAGGCGAAGATGGTGTATGAGGACGGCGTCATACCGCTGTCTCAGAAAGCGCGTCAATATCCGCCCGACTGGGATCATTTTCATGAGCTGCTCGATGCGCTGCTGCATCGTGTCCCTTCGTTCCGGGATGCGTCCCTGGATCGGCTAACCAACTCGTTGCAGGTCTTCTCGCCGGACTGCAAATGGATATTGGGCGAGGCACCCGAGATACAAAACTATTACGTGGCGGCGGGCAATAAGACGATGGGCGTCTCTGCATCGGGTGGCATTGGCCGTGTGCTCACCGATCTCATCACAAAGGGCTCCACATATCTGGATCTGCACATACTGGACATCAATCGGTTCCTGGGCCTGCACAACAATCGCAAGTTCTTGAGGGATCGCTGCAAGGAGGCGCCCGGCAAACACTTTGAGATCAACTATCCCTTCGACGAGTTTCAGACCGGTCGCAATCTGCGCATGTCGCCCATCTATCCGCAGCTGAAGGAAGCGGGTGCCGTCTTTGGCCAATCGATGGGCTACGAGCGACCCAACTATTTCGACACAAATGATAAGCAAGGTGCATCCTCTATATGTAAATGTATATCAGGCACTAATCCTTTGCTCTTTGATTGCAGATGAGTTTGGGCTGCCGCGATTTCGCATCTCCCAGACGCATACCTTTGGCAAACCTCCATGGTTCGATCATGTGGCCACGGAGTATCGCGCCTGTCGAGAACGCATCGGCATTGCCGACTACAGCTCCTTCACCAAATATGACTTCTGGTCGAAGGGCAATGAGGTGGTTGAGCTGCTGCAGTATCTCTGCTCGAACGATGTTGATGTTGCCGTTGGCTCCATTATACACACGGGCATGCAGAATCACAATGGTGGCTATGAGAACGATTGCTCCCTGGCGCGTCTCTCTGAGCGCCAGTAAGTAGAGAATGAAATCAATTTACCTCTAGTCGCACTGATTCTATTTCCCTTGCGTGCTGTAGCTACATGATGATTGCCCCGACTATTCAGCAGACGCGTTCCATGAGCTGGATCCGCAAGCATATGCCCGATCACCTGCGCGCCAAGGTCAACGTGGCGGACGTCACCTCCATGTACACAGCCATCTGTATATTGGGACCATATTCGCGTATTCTGCTCTCGGAACTCACCGACACAGATCTCACAGCCAAGAGCTTCCCCTTCTTCACATACAAGGTAAGCGATCTAGGCATCTTGGCCGCAAAGGCTGCACCAG